ATTTTTTAATCTCAATTTTAAATAAAAAGAAATTTCTGAATGGGAAATGCGATAATTTGATAGAATTCCAATTGAATTCCAATCGAACAGCAGTCGATAGCTAAATATCAGGATTTATTTCTATATTATGTTTAATTTTCGTTCGATTTCCGGAAGATATGTTTTACTATAGTTTTTGGGGAAAAATCGAACCGGAATTGAGAGTTTTTTTTAGTGATTTTTTTTAGTGATTTTTTAAGCGAAAGAAGAGGCCAGTGGTGGGAACTGCAGAAACCATTTGCCACCGTCAACAAAATCATTAGACCATGCGCAAATGGCGATATCTTTGTCAATCGAAATCTCGCGTAATTGCGATGTATTTCTCTTAATCGCAGCTAAACGACAGGCAATTTATTCCGTTGGAGTTAATTTACGCAATTATATAATTACTCTCGAGAGGACGGTGAAAATGCTGGTGATCGGGAACGGGAGGAGGAAGAGAGGGAGACAGTTAAACTCTGCTGCAACTGCCTAAACGGGCCTTCACTCTCATCTCGTGTCCAGTGTTATACACTCGTCGGACCGGATAATAACAGGTAGTTTAATTTAAAGAGGTCTAATGGCTTCACGTTTGAATTCAACCTCAATTTTAAACTTCTGCTCATTCTGGGAAGTCATTTCGCTCAGTCTTTCTCTTTGTTGTTAAACTATTCTCAGATTCTTCTCCCGAAACCTAAAAAATTATTTGGAAAAGTTTTTTCATTGCATTATCCAACAATATTCTCATGAGAAATTGTCTTTTACAATTCAGCAAGGATAATGCAAAAATTGAAAAAATATTTTTTAATTTTCATTCAATTTTTTTATTGCAAATTAATTGCCGTTTCAGAAAAACGAGGAAATTACTGTTGTAATTTAAGTTGTTATACACCGGAAGAAATATCTAATAAAAATGACGTATACCTTCTCTGTAATCCAGGAGTGAAAAGTGATTTCGAAAAATTTTACAGAACTATTAAAAATTTCCTTAAATTTCCATAATCACTTCGGTAATTGGCAAGCGTACATAAGTTCCGACACAATGTTCATTAAATATTTTTCTCCGTGTAATAAAAAATTCAAGTGACATTGCGATTGGAATTTCTTGAAAATTTCTGACAGTGTGATTTTTCCTGGCAATGATGGTGTACCAAGAATGACGAATCAGAATCAACGGAGAGAGCACATGAGGAAGGGGAGGCAGTGGAATCGAAAGGGGTAGAGGGGTGGGGTGAGAGGGAGGTTTAGTCAGTAGCGCACGCCAGTTGAAATAGTGAACGTTGCCGACATTCCTTTAGGCAAATTCTTGAGAACCCGTTTGGTTGGATCTATACCATTCAGCCGTGTATCTCGTGAAAACTACTCTAGAAGGTGATTTTAAGGCGAAGCAAGGTGGATTATGTGGCATTACACCGTCAATGCAACAGTGAGCCCTTTTCCAGAGGCAATATAGCTTTCTCATGCTCTCCTGCTTCAGCCCTTTTTTGTCACCCGGGAGTGATATTACCTATTTGCGCGGGGGAGCCAAGAAAAATGACTGGAGAGGGTTGAGGGGATGGCTGTCAGGGTCTGAATCAGTGACACCAGCCAGGAGGGTTGCGAGCGAGGGTTGCTGGTATCGATTTTGAACCCTCTTTCGGCTATTCTCATATGTGTTCGGCAATATTCCACAAGCTTTTTCGTCAAATGAGAGAGAGAACGGAAAATGTTGCGGAGAAATACACGAAAAATACATTTTCTCATTTTTTCAATATTTTTTTTCAACTCCTACATTCTCTCTAATTCAATCTCTAATTTTTTCAGATAAAGTATCGATTCACTCCACGATTTACGACTTTCGGATCAAATTCTATTACTCATTAATGAAATCATGATAGAAGATAGAAAATTAATTTGGAATTTTCGAAAGTACAAGTTCGAAAATATTGATAATATAATCTTGCTCCATGCTGCAATAATTTCGTGTAATTTTTTTTCATTCTCCATTGCTCCAATCCGCAAAAATATTCCGAAGAGATAAATACTTTCCGCCGAGATATACGAAGGGTTTATCTTGCATCTTGGCACATTTCCATTATCCTAAATGCGTGACAATTTCGCATAACGACTCGAGTAAGAATGATTTCCACTCGAAATCAGCGAAAGCGATACGATAAAATCAGTCCTTTAATTATTCACGAATAACCAGAGAAATCTGTGCCTAACAACTAAAAAACACCAATAAAAAGCATTTAGTCAATTCATCCTAAAAATCCATAAAATTACCCACGACCTTTTTACTTCAAGTTCCCTCAAAAAACTTTAAACTAATCATTATTATTTCTGTTCTCGTTGAAGCTATAATAAAAAAATATAAATAACGATCGCAAAATGTCAGAACTCTCTCACACTTGAAATATTCTCCTCCAAAAAAATGCTTGATGATTGAGGCCAATGGTAAAGAAAGTAATCAGAAATTGAAATGAAATGAAATAAAAAAGAGGCGTGTTAATAAAGCCGGTGTGCAACAAAAGCCCAAGGCGTGGCCAGTTGCAGAAGGCGTGTCTTTGTCTGGGAGCGGTGGAGGGAGCAGCAGAGCGCAGTAGCAGCTGCAACCCCCCACCCACTCCGCACGCTGTTTATCCTAGGAGAAAGAGAGAAAGCCATATAGATTGATATGATTAAATGAGATAGAGTGAAAGAGGGAAACCCCCGCGGCGGTCTTTACACCCGCGCAAACAGTGCCAGGCATGCGTTTTACACCCACACCGTGCAACTTTTTTGCCGTTCGGACAGGCACTCACCTCGTAAACCTCCCATCCACATCCCAAAGGCGCCTTTGTCTTCCAGCCGGCATTGGCCCAGTGCATATACCGTATGTCACATGTGCATTATGTATATCAGTGGGGAAAATAACAGGGGGACAAGTTTTTCAAGTCATCGCGACCGGTTTGGCGTCCTAATACACCTAAGTCTCGCCAGCACATTCCGGATATCGATATACATTCGATATTGAGTCGTTATTAAATACTGGATATTGTAAATAACCATGATGATCGCTTTTATTTTCCCATAGGAGAATTTATGGAATTGATCGTGGGATCATTCAATTAATATTTCAGAAGTATTGATGCAGGAAACATTCTTTTTGATTGTAGACAAGATATTACGCTTTATGATTTTTTGTTAGTATTTTACTTCACAGGAAACAGCTTTTGATACGTTCGAATTTTCCCGCGGATTGGGAGGACGTAGACGGATGCGCGCGCAAACGGTGCGAGCACACCCGGCGCCGCCGGCGGGGAGTGAGGAATTATGAATGCGGGATAATTACGTCACGACGACTGATTCGGCGACGATAAATGCGTAAATATTTGTAGATTTAATGGTAAATATGAGAGTTAAAAAACTGAGCAAGTTTTCTTCAGGTGAATCTTCCATTAAATTATTTAGCGATCGACAAAACTGATACCAGCAGTTGTCACACAAAAATAACGCGGAATGAACCCGTTCATGGTGGAATAATATTTTCCCAAGGGTGGAGGAATCGACGGCAATCCAAGAAATGGGTTTTATATTATTGTGCCGTGGGAAGAGGGTCCCTTAAAGAGAATCATTTAGAATTCAGTTCCCTCCCTGCGGCTTCCTGTCTTATATAATTTGACCACTGATACACGATATAGAGAAGGACAAGGAATAGAAATAAAAAGAGGCTAGGGCGGGTGGAGATGGGGAGACGCCTTTTTGCCAACGTGTCCTGAGCACCTCTCTGAAATCTCTCATAGGGACTCTCCTGCCGCTGGTCTTTTTGTACGCGGGCGGATCATTTCAGTTTGCCGCAAGAGAGAGAGGAGTAAGATGCAAAATGCCTTACTGTGGTGGTGCAAGAGTGAAAAGGAGATGGTATATCATGGCCTCCATTAAGCTCTTATTAATTGCGGGGATCTGAGGGACCGCCTGTGCCTCTTTCTTGCCTCTTCCCTGTATACCTGCCGACCGCCATTCTGACCAGTCGCATTAAGTAACCATCTTCTGTCTCTGTGAGGGTTTTAGGGGACAAAAGATCGAGATGAGAGGATATAAACGGAGAAATTCATAGCGCCGGCGACTTTTCGTCCCTTCCCAACCCCATCCTCTGCACTCGTTTTGATTCCATCACATGTTATACAGTGATCGATTGCCCTGCGCATGGACCGCGGCTTTCTTAATATCTCAATGCAACGATCTCGTCCGGCAAGATGAGATGATGAATCATTTTTTTCAAGATCTCTACTAGCCAATTGATTTTTATTTACGTTTATTCGAGGGAAGGGGGGGGGTCATTTTGTTTTGCTGAAGAGACGGCAGTGCTGTTTGAGGTTAGGTTTCTGGGCCTCGGCGGGAGAATAGGTGGGGGAATCGAGGGGTGGAGGAGAGTGTGGGAAAAGTGGGGCCAACACCGCCCCACAGATAGACAACGATGTATTAAGAGATAAATCAAAGAAACTCTATGTGATTTTAATCTTATAATCGTTTTCTTTATTATAAATATTTGCTTTTTAATATATATTTATATAGTTTACAAATAACAATTTACACAGCGACGCGATATCTAATATCGTCTCAGTTTGTTTTTCTCTTTTAGCTCTTTTTTTTTAATAATAAAACACTACTTGGGGTGGTGTTGGCACTTCTACCCCGTGTATATCGTTATTATTGTGTATGCACATTTTGACAGAATGACTTTTGTTTGGAAAACAAATGAAAACATTCAATTCTACGGAACTATCTAGATATTAATTCTAATGTCTTTGTGACCTGTACAAAGCGACGCTTTTTTTTTGCTGTTTTCCTTTGATTCTCTCACATTTATTTGTTTTGATTGTGAAAATTGTGTAGCTGACTTTGTTTTTATCTATGTATAAGTTCACTGTTTTTAATTTTTTTTTTTTTGTGATTTTTTTGTTATCTAGCTAAAGTACGCGGGGACCATTGGCATTAATTTTTTCAGGCCCAATACTCACCGGGGATGGGTGCATAAGGGCCATGGGGGTAGGGGGGTGCTGACGATGCGTCGACGAGGGATTGCGAGGGTGTCGCTGACGTCCAGTCCTTGTAGGACGCCGCTGCGTGCGCATGGTGGGGGGTGTGATGACCGAGGCCTCGAGCGCCGCCTAACAACAGGCCACCGTAACTCGCTGCTGCCGCCATGTTGTGATGATGATATTCATGGACGGCTCTGATAATGGAGGATATAATATTAATTACGACGACCAAATCTAACTTCATTAATAACGAGTAAATATTAATTAAATATAAAAAAAACCTCGGTAATTTCATTTCGTACTATTTAAATGGCTGTTCTCAATTCGCATAAATAATTGTTTTCAATTACCTGTGATGATACTGGGGGTAGTGGGGGTGCCACGGGTCCGTTGCGTAATCGTAAACGTCGCCGGGGTGTTGACTGTTCCAGAAGGACGGCGGAAAGTTTCTAGTTGACATTGGGATGTTTTCTGAAATAAATAAAAAAGACACTATTATAATCAGATGGACCCGCTGTTAGCAGATGCGTAGGTTACGTGACCGATAAGGACCGTGAGAGTAAAACACAGTGAGGTTCGGAAGTTGTCGAAGGATCGAGCATCATTGAGACTTAATTTTCCTTTTTTTGAATAAGGCATAAAAATTTCAAACTCTGGGGCTTCCCCCCCCTTCATCTACCCAAACACCTCTCGAAATTGTCTGATAAAATCTCCCCAACATGTTCCTTTTTTTATCCCCAAAACATCAAAGCCCAATACCCACAGCCAATTCCCTAATTCTAGCGAATATGTGACGCATCGGGTTATATTGTAATTCCCGCGGATTTCGGTTCAACCGATCGACAGAGACAAAAGTACAACAGATAGCGGTGGAACGAAGAAGCCCATGCAGTCCACATTGTTTCCCACGGATGGAATGCCGGTCCCTGGGAGTATCGCGGAGATGCTCTCCTCACTGGTGTCTGAGTGAGAAGGAGAGGATTCAAGGGCTTGAAATATGCTTCACCGTCTTGTCCGCGCGCCCAGCAAACCGCCCGATTGGCTTCCAACTCTCATCGCCGTCACAGCAAGTATAGATTCACCAATTCCTCCACCCACTGGTAACCCTATTCGAATGGTCACCATGTGGAAACGACTAACTATCGCGTTAAATATTGCGATTTGCTTAAGCCACCAAACCAAGATGCTAGCGATAAGTCGATGCTGCCGCGCGCCTCTTCACCCTTTTCCTCTCTTTTTCATTTATTTCTGTTTCTCTCTATTTTTGTTTCTCGTCTTTCTCTCAAACTGTCCGCGTCTTTGCTCCGGACTGTCCTTTATTTATTAACGCAATTAAAGAAACAGAGTGTCGGTCCACTGCTCGCAGCGGTCTTCTGGGCCTCTCTTTCTTCTATGCCGATGGGGCCCCGCACTCTCACGCCCCGGTGAAACAAAGATGGTGACATGCCAACAGGATAGTAGAGAGTGAAAAAAAAGGGCCGATGGAGGTTGAGAGAAGTGCCGCGTTCAGGAAGAACTGTCCTGACGACAACCCGATGGGGTTAGCGGAGTTAGATTGGGCCTCATTCAGTCAATTGGACGTTTTATGGATGAAGGTCAGTCACAGATAGGTCTAACAGGAAGGAAATGCGAAACTAAATCCATTGTATACGCCTTTAGATGGGGTGAACTTCCGGAAATTGAATTGCCGACTATTTAAAACATTAAATCTCACTTTCATCAATTCGATACTGAATTCTGTAGTCTGTCCCACATGTTACATCTGTCACGTATTCATCGACACCCAAATAAATATATTTCTACATGTAAAACACGAATTTCACTCGATAAACAAAATTGCCTGGCTGATGCAGCCATATACTTGTCCCAAAGATTAAGCAATGTCTCAGTGTCTCAGTATGAAGCCAGTTTTGGTTCCCGACGTCATCATCAGATTAACTAATCACACATCGCATATTCAACTCTCCGCCTGCACTAGTAAGAATGCACACATTGTCACTTCTAAAATTCAAATTAAATAAATTCTCGAACTCTGTGCTCCCTTTTTTTGGACCCATCTGAGAGTGAAGAATTGAAATATTTTTTTTTCCTCATCTGGATGGCGGTGACTTATGCAGGCATATGGCATTGCGCCAAAACTTTTCGCCATTATAAAGACGTTGGGTGCTCACGCGTGCAAGAAGGCGATACGTCAAAACGTAAAGCCATGATACAGGGGTGGGTGGAGAAGGGGAGGGAAGGGGTGGTGTTACTTGTGAGGGCCCCAAGCTGCTGGTCTTGAGGATTGATGTCCTGGCGCGACTGGATGGCTTGTTATTCCGATTTAGAGCGTTGTTCCGCGTGTGTCACACCACTCGCTGGGGTCTTTGAAGAGAGTAGTCAAGCAAACGAATGACTCTGTATTAGTTTCATGGGTAGACGACTGATGCGACGCGGCAAAGACCGCGTGTCAAGTAATTGCGGCTTCTGTCGCTCTATCTACCGGTCTCGGTAACGTAGTCACACGAGACTTTCTGTACTCATGCGGGCGTTAATTTGACGGCACAATGCGTAACGACATGCTCAATTTCATCCTTCAGCTTTGTTTTTCTTTGGAGGATATTTTTCGGTTTTTTTTTTCTTGCGGCTGTTAAAGAGTAAATGGGAAGGGTTGGAGGACAAGAGAAGGCGAGAAGATTGCAGGGGTTGTTGTTATGTCTGAAATTGATTTTCTGTTCAATTTAACGATAATCTATGAAAAATTAATTCCAGGTTGTGAATTCTAATAAATAGTTAACATTCTTCTAATTTACAGTGATTCAGCAATTATCATTTACATTATTGAGAGGTAATGTGAATTCAATTTTCACGCGATTTGTGATTTGGCTGAGCACTTGAAGATAGGAATGACCGAATTACATAAAAATTTTCTTACATGTTCCAATGGAATAGAATGAGAATAAAATAATTCAATGGGATTGGAGCGTCGTTCCATTTTCTTGAGTGGAAATCACGTAAAATCCGAAAGTTTCAGGCGAAAAATTCCACAAGCTAAAACTGTCCCGCATTCTTTACTCTTTACTTTGAGAAGCTCTTAATTTACCACTCTGTACTCTCATGTATATAGAAAGCAAGAGTAGGGGAGTGAAGAGAACGAGGAGCGCCGATGAGGAAAGAAAGAGGAAGGGAAAAATTCAGAGGGTTGAGGCACGTAACAATTAGGTCGATGTTGTCTTGAATTCTAAACAGGCTAGTGAACCGGAGATCCTCGTGGAGTTTGCGGTTGGGATAAATGTGGGTTTAAACGACACCGATATAGCAGCTCGCCCTGATCACTTGCCAAAGCCTCGCAGTGCAATTGCGCTTTTTCTTATTCACCTTTTTTTTCTTTCGCCAACTTTTTTCCACATTTTTCCGGTCGTACTCTCCTTACGGCTCTTTGTTATTCACCTCGGGTGCTCATTTTATTGGAGTTCGGATTTCAACTCCCGGATCACGGGGGACATGGAGAATTGCCGGAGGAGGGGGCTTGTTAGTCCTGTCAGAGGACCAAGTGGCTCGAGGTACTTTATTACATTCTTTCAAATGCAATGACTTCGGATTGATCTTGATTTGAGAATTATAATTAAAATGTTACCTTTGACTTTATCGTGTGCCAAGGCACGTTGAAAGTGTTCCTCGACCTCGGACGCTGCGTCACCTCGGTAATGAGTGAAGACAACGCAATTGGCACTAACGTATTGGGCTCTACTCTCACCATCGTCCGAATCCTCGGCTGTCGTCCCTGCACCTACAGCTGATTGACATATTTCGTTACGAAATTTTGTCGTTATTTTTATTACTAAAACAAGTTGAAAACATTTATTTTAGTTCGGTCATGACGAATTTTCATATCGATTGAGCTTGATTCTTCAAAGAGAACGAGAGTTTCTTGGTTGTTAAAAATTCATTGAAAATTTATAACATCAAGTACACTGTAAAAAATTTGGTGTAGACTTCTTGGGACAGCAGACGATCTCAATTCGACCCCAAAATTCGTGTTTCTTAAACTGTGTAGACAAAAGAATTTTTCGATCATCCAGAAACCTTTTCTCTCTGTGTTTCATCAGTACTCAGATGAATATTGAGGAATTTGGGGAGAAACTTACCATCAGTCGACCTGTCATCATCGAGGGTTCTCGATGGTTGGGTGGTAGTACTTGTTATAGGTGCTCTAGGTTGGGGTGTAGGTCGTGGCGATGCAGGACTTGGTGCTGAACCAACGGATCCCGCACTACTTGGTTGTCCCTGTGGTACACTTCCACTTGCTGCGCACAACTCCAGACCCGCAGCCTCCAACGATCTCTGATGTACATTTAACTGAGTATCAGAAAGAAGATGAAAATTGGAGATAAACTGATAAACCCAAGGAATGATTGAAATTGAGCTTCCAGGCATCGGAATTTTACAGTAAAATCCGTTGAAATCGGCCGCACGCTTTATTACCCCATTGTCGAACGAATGAATGCGCACGATTTTCGGAACAATGGAATTTATCGATGCAATTTTTCAGTGAAAATTCATCTGCCATGGAGAACATCTGGATGAAATCGTCATAATTAAATTCTTCGGTGATTCAGTGGTAGTGTATCGCGGATAGGGTGATGCAGTGGAGAGAAATTCCAGAAATGAGACAAATAATCCAAAACACCGGGCTGGGATGTTGGTGTGTGCGCAGTGCTTTGGAGATTCGTCAACACCTAGTGGTTCTACTCGCCTTTCGCCTTTGACGAAATTCTTGAAACGATTTAGAGTGCTTGCACGTCGACAAGCTGAAGGGCGTTCTGCCAAGACCCAGCATTTTGGGGGTTTTAAGAGCTTTCGAGACAGCAGTTGATGGTTGACCTTTATTTGAATGCATTTAGGGAGGATTGGAAATGGATCAATGACGCTTGTTATTGTGACGTAGCAAGATTTATGTCGGTTCTATTTTTGATTGGTCGGAGAGGACTTTTAACCGCGAGGGATTTATGAGATGGTGGTGATGCCGTGGATTCAACGATTTCATCGGTTGAATGTCTGTTTAAAGCGTTCATTGCGGCATGACAGAGAGAAATAGAAAGGGGTGCGCCATTATTCGGTAGGGCTCGTGGGAGTATGTCCGTTGAAAGACATGTGTTTCTACGTCTCTAATTTTGAGGTTCTTAAGAAATTCCTAGGCAGTGAGTATCCAAGACGTTTAGAGCATGTAGATAATAAAAATTAATTTTTATTATATATTTCAGTACGTTTATGTTGTTATTTGAGAGAACATTTTTCAGGTTGAATTCCGAGAAGTGCATGGACAAATACATGAGTCTTTGGTTTTTCTGTTTAAACATCTGTAAAATAATGGGACCATACGGTCCCATCCAAAGAAAATCCCTCGGATCATTATTTCATTTGTTCAGTCAAGAAACTCGAAATGTGTGGATGTGTCTTCCTAGCAATAATTTCGAATAAAAAAAGATTGCAACTCAGCCAGATTCTTTTTTATTGAAAACTACTGATTGGCAATAGTGATGTAATCTTTTTGTTGTGACAATGGCGGGGGGAAAGGACTTTGACGGACCTTGTTACGTGATCACATATATTTTCTCATGCATCCGTCCAGTTTCGGAATCGCTGATTCCAGATTCTTGAAAGGGTGAAGGAAGTAGCCAGGAGGTGGTGGGGGGATGTAAAGGGGGTGGATAGTGAGTTCCATTGAGACACATAGCGACGCCGAGCGTTGGCGTCCATTGTGCCTTCAATACAACTCGAAATGGGAGGGTGAAACGGGAAGCTGCAAATAGCACTCGGACTATGCGACGTCCCACCTCATACCCACCCCCCTCTTTCGACTGTCCGCTTATCCTCGTCACGGCTGATCGCAACGAGACCAAATAGCACGTAATGCTCGCTATTCATTAGATCCCAGCGATGCAAATGTCACCGTGGGTCATGACATTCCCCGCCATTTTTCGCCTCCCCCCCTTTTTTTTCATCCGATCGTCGAATACTTTTTATTTTTGGATAGATTTTGTCAATTGGATCGAAACGTCACAATAACATCGGTGTCCATTACTGTAGAGTCATTCGAAACGCGCGACTGAGTGTCGAAAGGTGAACGAGTATTCCGAGGATGCGACGTACTGCTGAATGCCAAACTACGCGGTCAAGATGACTCTATTTTGTCCACTGCGTGGTCGCCATTTGGTAGAGGTGACATTTTCATCGGGATGCGAGTTACTTCAGGCGATCTTCAGCATGTTGACAAGCAGGAGCGGATCGCGACGTGAATCAAGGAGTTAAGGAAAATCCCTCTTTCCGGTATATGTGATTATCCAGTAAAAATTTTGAAACGTTTTTCGAAAAAGTTTAGTTCTTGCGTTTATTCAAACTATTAATTTTTGCACTGAAGCCAAAAGCCCTTGAGATACGAAATCGAACGTACGTTACAGCGGGTTGTCGTGATAAAAATCGTTACGTAAATTTGTCAAATGAAATTAAATGAAATGATTTCTGAGTTAACGTTAGCCGTCAGAGAAGATTGTAAATCACTGTGGGATGAGCGTGGGAGAATTGCTGGATATTGATAGTTAGCGAGTTCGATCTGTCTGGTCTTTTTAGAACAGGAAACAGCAAACATTATGGCGTCGCTCTGAAGGGCAATCCTACACTCTTATTCCGCACAGCGCAGCCATTGTTAATCTCAAGCAATAACCAACCTCGTAACATCAAGATTATTATAAATCCATCCATGACGCGCGGGGCGTGTATGAATTATTATTGCCTGAGTGACCGGACGTCGTCGGGCTGGCGATTTCCTGGCGCTGCCAACACGCGGTAATCTCTCCGCAGAGTGAGAGAGTTGGCTAGCCCCAGTGGTCCTTTTGGCGTTGTCAAGACCCTCTGGACAAGAAAGCCTTTCGTACATTGAATCGGCGGCAGACGTACATCGCACACCGCCTAACCAATTACGTTCATGCATCAAGAGAGACGCGCGCGTTTCATCCTACGTCTCAGTCTGGAGAGCTCAGAAATAAGTTGACGGTGATGTATGCCTGGAGTACGTGGGGGTGTTCTCCATCTTTTTCATCTTCGTCGAGTGAATGAAAAAAAAAAAAACATCCGAGGCAACGCCTCAACTAGATGTTATCATTATCTGCTCTAATAAACCCTCACAGCCGACATTCCGTGAAACCGTACATCACCCGTGGCTCCAACCGCACCACCAGGCAACTCTCATGACCCGGAGAAAAAAAACATCTACGGAATAACACCACTCGCTGACACCTGACGTTTTCCCTGCGCTCTCAAGTTATTCAAAGGCGGTGTTGAATCGTCTTTAACAAAACAACACTTAAAAACAATTTCGGCTGAATTTATCAAGATGGTGGTGTCGCTTGTGGAAGTACTGAGAGAGGCATACACCAACGACAATGTGGTAATTAATCGAGTCGTTCGGCAACCTTCGACTCTAGCCCCCCCCTTCCCCTCTACCGCCCCCACCGGACCGGAGGTTTCTGATGCTTCTGCGGGGCCTCTGGGAAGGACGCGGATCCTGTCGCGGTCCTTCAAAGCATTCCGAGCTCCCTTTCCCCGTACCCCCACTCCATATCCATCGTTTCTTTTTCGTCGCTCGCCAAACATTCACCCACCGCCCCCCTCCCCCTGCGCCCCTCTTACCACCCGCTCCCCCCGTTTTTTTTTTCAGCCAACTGTTTATAACAATAAGACGAAATGAGGAGATTTTCAATGTGTTTTTAGTCGGCTTTGTTTAGCGGTCAAAAATATTTGATTTACGTTTAATTCATTTAGTTTAAATAAAATTTAGTGCAATTTTTATTTTGCAGTGTGCTAAATTTTAATGAAAATTCAGATACGCTCTGTGGAAAAATTGCACTCGGAACTTCAAATTAAATAACTTGTAATTTTTAAGAACAATATGGAGATTAAATTTTGTGGTAGGTTTTTCATTGACTAATTGGTTGACTTGATGGTATTCGAGAAAAAAACCGTGAAAATGTGGAAAATTTTGGCGATTATTTTCTTGAATTTTAAATTTATTGATTATTCAAGATGAATGAGAAATTTCGTGAGCGTTTTTAATTGAAATTGAATACAAGTTCACCTGATTGAAAATTAAAATAACTCTCTGATTGTAATTTCAAGAAATTTCTAATAGTGCAGCTGTACCTAAAAATAAAAATACAAGCTGTCCGCATCTGATGAATTTTCTCATCGATTTAGTTTCTCGTTTTTTAATTGGATGTGATTGATACTCAGAGATGGGGCGACGATGATCAGCTCCCACATCAATTACAAAAGTCGGGGGGTGGAAGCCGGAGAGATATGCCACAGGTAGCAAAACGAGTAAAATGGCGATTGAGGCTGGTGAGAGGGAGAGAAGAAGAGAGATGGAGAAGGGTCCCAGTGGGTAACAAGCTACCATCGAGTATCTCGCAATTTGTTTGCCAGACACGGCCATTCGTCGACACGATTCTCCTATCTTCGGTTAAGATGAGAGAAGTCGGACTTCTCGTAGCTCTGTTTCACTCTTTTCGTACATTTTCCATTTTTTTTTCGCTTATGCCGTGTCTTCGTGTCCCTCACTTCTTTTTTTTTTTATTTGTGTGGGGGTTGGGGGTGGATATCTATCGATAATGTGAGTGAGTTCCCCTCTGGTTAGGTTTAGCCTTCATTAGCGCGGTAAATCTCACTCGCTCCAGGTGGACAACAACACTGAAGACGACAAATTACCGCATATCGGCACATCCTTATTCTCGACCTCGATTAGTCCATCCGTGGGAAATTAATCAACGACTCTTTCCTCTCATTTCGGAAAGTCGCTTTTTCAGGCAGATTTTTTTTCGCACATCTTCTTGGTCTAGAGGACTAGCCTCTAGAACCGACAGCGGAAACCTAACAAGTCCTATAAAATGTTTGAAATTTTTTTTATTACCCGATAACCACATGTAAATTTTCAGTGTTGTCAAATTCGAGATAAAAATTCCATAAAGTCTCAGCAATTCAACATTGAATAATGCCGCGAATTTCCACGAGACGCCGCAAAAATGTTATGCAACGGAAAACCGAACGGAAGTTACTCAGTCGACAAAATCTCAAGTGAATATGTCAATTGAAATATCTCGACAACTCGGAGACTCATCGATACGTAGTCGACGACGAATGTAGAGAATTCCACGCCAAATAAAATGCGTTTCCGCTGACATCTCCGAGAATGGCAGTTTTCACGATGTGAGTGTTCGTAGATAGAAGAACCCCTCGGTGCATGCGTTTTTTCAGAACCCAAAGGTCTTAACTTACTTAAACAAATGATAGCATCTCTAGAATGG